CACACTTTTGTTGAATGTGGCCTTCCCCGAGGCAGCGTGTGCACTGGAAATGCTTGTCTGCAACAGAGATCACCTCTTTGCAAGAGAGACACTGCTTGAAGCCTGGTGAACTGAGCATAACCAGCTGGGGGAAGGGTCCCCAACGAGGAAAATAGCAGAAAAAAAATAAAGTCTCTCTCTTTTAGGGAGAAAAAAACTACAACTAGAACTACAACTAAGTACTATGAGGCTAACTATAGAAATGCAAAATGAAAAGTAATGGTCCTAATGGACTTCAAATAGCTCTGTCTCTAGCCAGGGGCAGCTGAGAAGAAACTGAGGGGGGTTAACCCATGCGCATTGAATAGCCTCGTGGTGCAGCACAAGTAGAGACAGGGCATGTGCGGGCCTAAAGGACACTGATCCGATCAGCAGCGCAGGGATGCTAGCACAGCTACAGTGCATCACCCATAGGGACACGACTCAAAGAAGAAAAAGAAGTTTATTTTACTGATGGGAAACTGAGAGGTAAAATGACTTGCCCAAGGTTACCCAGCAGGCCAGTGGCAGAGCTAGGAACAGAACCCAGGTCTCCAGAGTCTCAGTATAGTGTTCTATCCAGTGGGCCTTATATATTAAACTAATTTTGTTTTTAAAATTTTCATAATTTTACAGGACTTTTAGAAATTCATCTTCCATTATGTCCTCTTTTAATTACCTAGAATATAAATATTATAAAAAGGGGGACATTGTTTGATGAAGATTGTAATAGCATGAGTATTGGGTAAAACCAGATTTATGGTCTATTAGTCATCCATTACAAAATACCATATGTTTAAGAGTGTTTAAGAATTTTTAAGCACCATTGCCTAGCATCTGGAATCTTTACAAAAATATTAAATCATGGAAATCAGACACCAAGCTAACCAAAAAGGGTAGCTTAAAACTACAAACACTGTTGTCAGGACCAGGAAATATCTGCAGCCAAATTGCCCTCACTCTTTCAAACAGATACTCAGTTCACTGAAAGCCTGACCAAGTAAGCATGATTTCCATCATGACCTGAGTGAAGGCTGCTAAATTGGGGTCTGGCATCTCACCAGAGGAGCGAGTTGCATAAGAGAAGGCCCCGCAGTAGGAAAGTGTTTGTTCTGGTCATGGAACATTTGGTCTTTGGAACAGACAACAAGAGTATCCTTCACTCATACTTCTCCACCTGTCAAGGGACATGCGTGGCAAAGACCCAAAATAAACATAAGACAAAAAAATATTATTCATGCAGGAAAATTAAAATGTGGTGGGATTCCTTTGTTCAGCATAAATAGCTCTTCCTGTAATCTTTGTTCCATTCATTTTTATTTCTGATGCAAAGGAGTTTCAAAAGTAAAAATGATGGGACACCAAATTTGTGTGAAATGTAGGGAATTTGGGACTAACGAGTGATATCCTTTGAAATTAAGTAAATATGAATGGTGTGTTTACAATATATTTGATCTTGCTGCAAGGGTAAATATTGTGAGAGATGAATTCTTAGGTTCAGGGGTGAAATTCTAACCCCATTAAAGTCAATGACAAAAACGCCATTGACATCAATGGACCCAGGATTTCACCCCTGAGGTTTAAGACATGCAGATATCTAGAAGAATCATAAAACACTGTCATGTGTTGTTATCTATAAATAGTTCCCTGCCCCATCTAATGTGGACAAGGCCTGAGCAGATTAAAAAGGGACAATTAAATTTATATGTTTCACCTGCAGGAGAGCCAGGGACAGATAAAGTCTAACTGAAAATGAAGCCCAGCTGGGCAGGGGCAAGCTGGACTTGTACAAAGCCAGGAAGTGGAGAGCGAGAGGCAGGTCAGGGATGAGCTCTGTGGTCACTGTTTAGCGAGAAAGGGAATTGGCCATCGACCAGGAGGAGTTCTAGGAGGAAAGTAAGCCCTGGGATCCTGCCCTGAACTACAGAGTCAGGCAAGAAACCAAGCGTGGTGGAGTAGCCACTGGGAGGAAAGGAAGCTCAAGTTGGCAAATTCAGAAATGAGCCAGGAGATAGAGAAGTGAGATAGGAAGGAACCCAAGGAAATAGCAACAGGGTCTGAGATTGACTAGACGGTGGTTGCTAGGCATAGGATCCCTCAGCTGGAACCCGGAGTAATGGGTGGGTCTGGGTTACTCTGCCAGCCACTGGGAAAGTGGCCCTGGACGTGGACTTAGACCAGAAAACTGCCTGGCAAGGCATATGGATAGCTTGTCTAGTGGGATTTTGACCCCCAGAAGGGGAAGCCTAACTAGTGACTTAGTCCTCTGGGCAGGTCATGAAGAGGGAGCACCCCAAGTCCCAGAAAGAGAGAAAGCCCATGAAGTGAGAAACCAATAGAAAGGAGGACCAGATCAGGCAAGAGCTGATCCCCAGATCCAGTCACAAGTTGTCCCAGTAGTGATTGAACCCTATTACAACAATATTTAAATATCATTTTAATCTTTACATCATACAACATTCCCTATTAGTTATTCTTATATTTATTATCAGCCTACATGAAGCCATATATACATTACTACAGCAACATAACTATGAGAAAGCTCTGTGGTTGTTTTCACACTGGTGCATCTTTTGAATTACCTTATCTGAGAAATATCACCTGAAAGATATGGTATATGTAGGTTGGAATATTTCTGTTTATAGCATCATTAAAGTGACACTATATTTTGTCAATGTCTAGAGAAAACTCCAAAGGAAAAATGCATGTAGAAATCTTTCCATTATGTGCTTGTGTTTAAGAGCAAGATTTACTTTAAGATTTAATACTAGCGAATGACATGAACTGAAGAAACTATAATAGCAATATTTTTTGACAAAGTAATAGTTGATCATTGTTATGTCGCATTGTGAATGACTAGAAGCAAATCAGATTTATCTGTTGAATGCACAAAGCAATATAGTTACTGCAGATGATACTCTCATACAGCACCTGCTGATATAAAATGTATATCTGCAGTGAGGCCTTTAAAGTTAACTAGTTAAGAAGTTAACATACAAGAAAAAAATTCAACTGATTATTTTCAGGGATGATCTTACTTTCACATAAATGAGTTTAATTATATAAACTATGTTATGGAATCTTTAAATAGTAACACATGATCTGGTTTCTGCTTCACTCACATTCTCAGTAAGAACTGACTTGTGTGCCTTGCACCACTATTTAAGACTCAAGCAATCTCCATTTTTGTTAAAGAGCTCGTTAAAAAGTTAAGTTGTTCTTCTCCCCTTCCTCTTTGATTTTCCATATGCTCTTAGCACTGCTGCCTGTGAGAGGCTATCTTCAGGCTATTTTCCTCTTGCGGGTTTTGGTCTCTGGGTATAAGTGTGGGTCCAGATTGAACCAAAATACCGAAGAATGTCCATATTCTGGCTTTAAATGGGAAATGCGGGCTTGGGGAGTTGGCTAGCTCCATTTGAACTCAAATCAGGTCCAAAGAAATTAGATTTTGAAAAATTTCCTTTAACCTAACTCAGGTCCCTGAGGGCAGGTTGAGTCCCAAAAATCCTTTTGTATCCATCTATCACTTCTATATCATGCTTATCACCACAGTATCTGAATTCTGGCCATAATGCTGCAGTATCTGGTTAACCTGAACTAGTACCTGGGTTTTAATCTAGGAGCTGGCCTGATTTGCCCTTCTCTCAGTCCAGTTCAGGTTCTAGTTTTGCAATGCTCCCCCCTCCCCCAATTCAGAAGAGTTTTGTCTTAATTTTATTTAAATTCAGTTGTCCAGAAGTGACATCACTACATCATCTAGCTCCCCAGTGTTCCTATAGTTAATCCTATAGTGATTACTGATGACCACTACATAGTCAAAGTGGTTAGCATTAGTAAGTTCCATTGAAGGTATGCTGTACTTCATACTTTCATTTAACCCTTTAAACAGAAGTACACTTAAAAAGTGCAAGCTTGAAGCACACAAACATGGTAATAAAGTGGTAATACTAGTCGAGCTGCTCTTCCAGTAATTCACCCCATCCCTTGTTTCTGGGATAAAGCAAGTAGCACATTTTTTTACATTTAAAAGTAAGTTTCAAATGCCTTTTGCCAAGATGTAGCCCAGCCAAGATCAAAATCTTTTTCAGGAACCAGCAGCCACCAGCCTCTCAGTCAACACAGGAAACTGCCATTGATGTCAAGGTACTATCATACTGCCCTCAATCCACAGTGGTTGTCCTAAATTTGACTAAAACCTATAAGTAAAATGTATGCTCTTCAGGGCAGAGACTGTCTTCAATTGTTTTCTTATATAATGCTGACCACATAGTTAATGTCTAACAAAGAAATAATTAATATAAGTAATAATAATAATTAGTAATAATGATCTGAACCTAAAAGGCATTTTGGAAAAAAACAAATATTGAAATTTGAGTATTAGGTTCTGAACATGCCCAGGATTAAACCTTAATTATTTTTCAGTTCTGATTATTTTTATACAGTAAATTCCTCTTAAAGTACCAGTATTTACTTGAATGAAAGTGAGTACCCTTCCCACTAGGAAACTAAATATAAAATGATAAACAATTAGATGGCAATTCTGAGTGAAGGCTGTCACTCTATTGTGCCTGCCTACCTTACTGCTGCAAACATGGCCCTCTAGCTCAGTGGTTCTCAAACTTTTGTACTGGTGACCCCTTTCACATAGCAAGCCACAGAGTGCGACCCCCCTTATAAATTAAAAACTCTTTTTTATATATTTAACACCATTATAAATGCTGGAGGCAAAGCGGGGTTTCGGGTGGAGGTTGACAGCTCACAACCCCCCATATAATAACCTCGCGATCCCCTGAGGGGTCCCAACCCCCAGTTTGAGAACCCCTGATCTAGCTAGTTCTATCAGATTTTACATACTGTTCCATACACGCTGCAACACAGGCACAAATGAGGCAAATTAACAAAGGAAGTCACAAAAAGCAATAATCAAGTTATGAGGTTGCAATGCTAAAAAATGTCTCTAAAGAAAGCAATATGACTCTTACCTATTCATTAGCTCTTGAAAAGTTCCATTTGGTAATGGAAATATAAAGCCATTTATGACTGACTTTAAGTAATCCAAAGACACAAATCCATTCTGACTGACATCAAATGCTCTGAAGGCTTTTTCAATGTCCTGATAGGTTGAGTACAGCTGAAATGAATACAATTTACGGTGTTTTGTTCAGAAAAATCAAGCTCATGAAGTTTTTAAAACAATAATGTATTTTTTACAAGACCTTTTCAAATGTTCTTCTCTGTAAACTGATCAAATAGGTTACCATGGCAAGCTCTGACTGTCAGATGTTTAATTAATAGGCTCACTACAAAACAGTATTTCCCAATCACAGAGACTCAAGTGACAAGGCAGACAAGTTTCTCACAGAAAGATAGCACATATAATAACTCTACCTCAAAATTCAGGGCTAAAAATATTGGTGGATCTGCCTGCTTGATACATCTGTTTTAGTATACTTTTAAAGACAACCCTATTGTAACTCAGTACTAAGCTCCTCTTTATTAAAATGGATCATAATGAATGCTAGAAGAAATGTTATAAGAAACAGAATGGTTAATATACCTATTATATAAACATATTGCACATTTCTTTGGTTATTCTTTTAGTTCGTGGGCTGTTGCATAGAAACTAGGGGAATGTGGTTTTGCTTATGGGACTTACTGCAAATTTCAGTAAGGATAATAAAACAGCAGGAAGATTGGTTTTATTCACCAAAAGTTCAGTCAGTACTGTGTGTTGAATAGTACAAACATTCCTGGGGCTTTCCATCACCCTTTTTGGTGCTTTACCCTACCTTTTTCTAATCTGTTTACTGCTAAATGAAAACTGCAGATATCACAGGGCAGAGATAATGTATGGACAGACTTCAGGAAGTCCAAAATAAATATCATGGGCTGATAGGGTTTACAGGGTGATGAGATGTACCCAGCCACCAACTAGGGTGACCAGATAGCAAGTGTGAAAAATCGGGACAGGTGGTGGGGGGTAATAGGCCTCTATATAAGAAAAAGCCCCAAATATCGGGACTGTCCCTATAAAATCAGGACATCTGGTCACCCTACCACCAACCCAGGCATCAATCTGTGTGGCTCAGGAGGACCTACCCTGACTTCAGAATCAAGAACTAAAGGGGAAAGAAGGTCAGGTGATGTCCCTGCAGCCTTAGTGCCTGCTGACCTCCAGCCTGCTAGAACTCTCCAATCACTTCAAGGCTGAGGAAGTACAGTTATAGGTTTGTATAGCTGGATTTGTACTAAAACACTAACTCTGGCCCATAGTCCCGTCCCCTTACTTTCACTATAGCCTTCTGAGAGCGGAGAGAGGTTCTTGAGGTTAAAGGACAGAACTGACTCTCACGAGATTTGGATTCTATTCCTCTATCCACAAAATAGGTAGAACACATGTATGGAAGTATGCAAGATCCCCCATGTTGTCCCTCTACCATGCTCTGGAAGGATCCCCTCAAGGCATAAGGAGTTAATTCCTTCTCCATGCCCATTCGACCCTTAACTTCTGTGTTCAAACTTCCCACATGGGTGCCATTTATGAGCTTCACACATATCGAACTAGGGACTGCACTTAGGCCACTAGCTTATTTCATGTAGCTCATGAAATAATTGCCAAATGATGACAACTTTTAATCATTCCTGAGCTGGGTTGGGATTCAGGCAAGTGATCTAGCAGTGAGAAGTGATAGATTCATGTATGATTTGCCTGACCCATGCAGTTTCAATATTTTTATTTTGTTTTCATCTAGAAAAGTGGTGTTTTCCTAGGTATTTATATACATTTTTTAAAGCTATGAACCTGACAAACAAGATATGAGACCTTTAGAAAGTGCAATGAAAAACAAAACTGCCATTTCTATTAAGGGCTTTTTAAAAAAACAACACAATTATTATTAATTTGTATGTTGAACACCAAAACTTTCTGTGTAATCTCCATTCTGTGTGACGCCTGGCTCAACCCCTCCATATTTCAAAGTATTCAGACACATTAAGGACTCTCTTACCTTTTTCCTAAAAGCCATCTCTATGTCATCTAGTGTGCATTCTATCAAACTACCCTCAGCTGGTGAAGTCTGTAGTGACAGCTTATTCTGTTTTGGCATCTTGTCCTGTGTCTCCTCCCAGTTCGGTGCTGGTAAGGAAAACTTCATTTTAGCAAAGTCACTGCTATTGGCATCTTCAAAGAAATAAAAGTAACTGGATTTCTTTTTGAAGACCATTTCTTGTTAAATCATTAGAGAAGTCTTTATGTAAAATATTAAGATAAGTCCAAAATACAACTGATTTGTATTTCTCAGACTGGATTTCTAGGGAAGAATAATAGGCACAAAGCTTAGCATTTATAATAGTGCTTTTTATCTTCACTTTTCTTTAGGAGAATTAATTCATGTAGCATACAATCTTAACAAATACTCTTATTTGCATGTAATATCACAGAGTATTCTGATAGTTTTATCTCTTTACCAATATTGTTACAGAGCAATTAGGCCCTTGAAAACACATTTTCAGTATATGGATGACAACCCACTCACAGATCTCGGACAGCAAACATGCCTGCTAACTTTGAAAGACACTGGTTTCTCTTGACTGCTCCCTTTGTTTCTTTCACATATTCCTAAATTTGTGCTCTTTCATACTGCCCACAGCCCTTGAAAGAGCCTTTAGTTAACATATGCCAAGTGCCCTCCCCATCAAAAAACTTTCCTGTGAAGCATTCGAGCTAGAACAATCACCATCCCACTTTGTGCTTTCTCTGAACTGTATTGTGCTCTATATTATCCACACTGTGCTTTTAGAATGTAAATTCTTCAAGGCAAGAGCTCTGCTATATGTCTGGCATATTCTGATCATTGTATAGCACCAAGTGTGATCACTGTGCTAGACATGGCCCAGATTCTGACGCCCCTTCTCACACTGAGTAGCATCTTACTCCTGGAGTACTCCATTTCAATAGGACAACTCATGAAGTAAGGTGCTTTTCAACATGAGCAAAAATATCAGAATCTGGCCATAAATAAATAAAAGTGACAACTGTTAATACTTGCATAATGCTTTTCATCAGTAGGCCTGGTCAACTCACAAAGTCGCACCTGATTAACCAAGGGCATGTTTTTAAATCGATTTAATTAAACTGGTGCAAAAATCTATGTGAGCCCTCTTAATTCAATTTAAAGCAGGCTTATATCAGTTTTTCTTGTGAGGTAGGTGATATAAACCAGTTTTGAACCAGTGGAAGTGCCCACAAGGCTTAACTAAATTTTTTTTAAACGTTTTAAAACTGGTTTAGCTAAATCAATTTTTACATCATCTGTGTGTAGACAAGGCATTGATTCTCAAAGCACTTTACAAAGGGGGTAAGTATATTTATCCACATGTTAGAGATGGAGAACCTGACAAACAGAAGTTAAGTTCCTTGTCAAATATCACCCAGTGAGTCAGTGTGGTAAAGTGGTGTTTAAGAAACAGGGTATGTCTACACTACGAAATTAGGTCGAATTAATAGAAGCCGGTTTTATAGAAATCGGTTGTATACAGCCGATTGTGTGTGTCCCCACATAAAATGCTCTAAGTGCTCTAGTCGGCGGACCGCGTCCACAGTACCGAGGCTAGCGTCGACTTCCGGAGCATTGCACTATGGGTAGCTATCCCACAGTTCCCGCAGTCTCCGCCGCCCATTGGAATTCTGGGTTGAGATCCCAATGCCC